CGTAGAGTCAGGAATCTATGCTATGTGCGATTCGTATTCACCTTCAAGAGGGCCATCCGACGAGCCTTGGCAAACGCATATGGGAATTCCAACTCTTGTAGTTGGGTTATGATTGCGTGCGCTTCTTCGATGGTCATGCTTGATAGGGGTCTTTCGTTGGTTGTGAAAGGGGCTTCTATTGCTGTTTTGCGTTGGTAGCGGAGATGTTGGACTAGGGTTAGGTAGATTGTGAGGACTAGTATGGCTATTGAGGTGGTTAGGGGGTGGATGGTAGTCTGTGGTTCGTGTAGTTGGTCGGTGGTGTTCATTTCGTTGTTCTGATTTCCTGTATTCTGAGAAGGAGTCTGTGGGGGGGGGGGGGGGGTATAGAGCTTGTTGATGCTTAATTGAATGGGTGAATGAAATTGTCCAAATGATAATCTTATTAGTATTTAGATAGGCGATGACTGGTAGATTCAAGATAATTCGTGCGAGGTGGCCGGGTGAAGTTATATAGTATATGTCAAGAAAAGAGTACTGACTTCCAACAGACTCCCAACAAAAAGAAAGAAAAAGAAAAATCAGAGACATATGAAAGAATGGTTCATGAATTGTTGGTCCCAGATCTTCCCCCAGCGAAAGGGATCTACTATTTAGTACTATGACCGAGATATTGTAATCCAGGGCTTGCGCCGAGGCCGCTCACTGACCTACCCCAACACCACACCATGACGAACTCCACATGGTAGAGGATTATTCATAAGAAAAGAACAGCACTATCTCTGATTACCAGGTAGATAGGAACAACATGTGCAATCACATGGATGCTGTCTGATATCTTGAATGTGAACTCTTAATAGTGCCATTGAGTATAGGGCCTGAGCAAATAAATACTCTATGGAACCTAGATTATGCCCAATAATCATGAATCACTCATTCTGTGCACGCGAATGTATCAATTTACGAGTCTGATCTTAACCACTCGGCTACACTGACATGTTTGAGTAAATGTGGTAATCTTTAGTACTACTATATGGATCATCATACAGTATGTGGCTCTCTACTGTGCATTCCTTGTAATAGGGGGCATTGTCAAAAGAACAACATCTTTTACCCGCAGCTACCTGCGGACCAGTGGAATTTTGCTCATTTAAAATGATATGGACACGCAGAAGCAGGTGATTCATGACCCACTAGATCTATTACAATCATACTATATTGTGTCATAGAAAGGGACTATCAAAGATACTGTAATACTAGTTCACAATTCTGGGATTAAGTTTTATCAGAATATCAGAACCTACAATAAATTTCACTATATTAAGCATAGAAATAGTGAAGAAAAGTGATATATACCAGAATAACCCTCCTCCATAATCTTGCATCCGGGAAGTATATTAAATGTGTTCTTCTCCCCAGCACTAGATATTTATCCAATCAATCCCTCCTTTATCGTACTTATCAAAGGCAGCCGTGGAAATTCGGAACCTACTCTACTACGTATTTTAGCGTAGACGAGAGACACCTCATGTCAAAACGCCCGTAAGAGTACCATCCAAGGTGGCTACCACTACACCAGCCAAACACTAGATGGGTAGTAGAAAGATGATATCATTGGATATTAGGATAGTGGAGGAGTACAACAAGCTTTGACTTCCGACGACCAGGGTTTGATTATGACGTTTTCTTCAGGGATATATTTGTCGGATCAATTCCGACAAGGAAACTTCAGAGCACATTGCGGATGGTCCAGTCGGGTGTCCCGGTTTGTCGGAACGAAATTTGGGCGTAGAGCCGGGATAGTTGTATACGGTCCTCTACAGGAGATTACAGAATATCCAATATGTATGTATGTATGTATGCAGTTTTTCAAAGTGAGTTGGTTCGAATATGGCTAAAGACTATCCCGGCCTGCCAAATCTCAGACCGTTGCAGTGCAGCGTGAGTACCTGCGGCTGCAGTATTCTGCAGCAATTCCCCTACCAACCAACACAGTTGCCTAACCAGGCAAAGAAATAGTACCAGGCGATCACACTAGCTCGCCGTTGGCTCATATCCTCAATGTAGAATCGAAGGAATGGTTGGAGCCATGACCCACCCCGGAAAGCGCGAGCAACGCCACACATTGACGGATCTTACCAAGTGGGCCACCATGAGCCCTTAGTCTCTGCAAAAAAGCCCTGAAAAGCCAGTAAGATCCCTCAAGTGCAAGCCTGACGTGGTCGTAGCCGAAGAAAACGACCGTGGCCCAATTTGCATTCTGCATGAATCATTCTTTTGTCCTGCGAAACGGAAAAAATGACAGACAAAGCGAGGATTGGTCGGTCCTCCCCTTGTTCAGATAGGCCCGTGGGCCGCCAAGTGATCAGTTATGCAGATTATGTGCACGCCAGACAGACCCAATCATAGGCTGACCTGCATATGCAAGATTTGCTGTCGGTGACCCAACCTCAACCCTGAGCGTTTACCAGCGCGCTATTTCGGGCCCATTGATCGACATATGCCGGTAGGTTTCGTGAAGAATGGGCTTATGTAGCCATGATGCCTCTTCTGACGCTCGAGTGCTTCGTTTCCATTGCTTCCGGTGTCATGATGATTTGCACCTTAAGTTCCACCACCTTCCCTCATTGTAGTCTCCAGAACTGGCTACTTTATTGTTCTCAGAGTATGTAGCGCCTAAGAGACCTTCTTCCACCCCCAACAAAGTAGACGGACCGCACCTAAGACCTCCATGGCTGATTGGGATGTCTTCAACTGCATAGACAAGTATCGAAACGAGAGGGCGAAACGGGGCCCCTTAGACGCTCACATTTCTCAGCCATCCACCCAATCATGTCAGAGTCACCATAGGAGAAGCGAGGGGACAGGAGGATATGGAGAAGATAGGAAATTTGTGGTTGGAAGCCTGACAAATGTATGTTCTCACTTTCGTTTCTTTTAACAGTGAACTAAGGGAATTATGTCACCCTTCACATAATCTGGCCCCATTCTCCCTTCCCCTTGTCTCCTTCCCTGAGGCCTCTTAACGTAGCTTCTCATAATCTCGTCGAAGAATAGGAAAGAGTGAACGGTACTGTCGTCGCATGCTCATGTCGGAGTCGTAGATAGGAAAGGTAAGTGGTCATCAAGTTGATATAAATCATCGCTGGTGGTAGGTTCGTTTTATTTCTCGTCATTGGGTAGACCGTCCGGCCTGGAACTCGCTGGCGGACTGTTGTTGCCGTCTGTCGCCACGGAATCTACCCCGTCGGGGATATTTAGCTCATCTTTCGGTGCGGAGCGAGCAATAACGGCCCGAATTTCATCATGAGTTGCGCCCGATCGGATGACGTCGAGAATACCGTCGATGGTGGCACGATCACCAGATCGTAGCGCCTCAAGGAGTTGTTCCACAAAGCCACGGTAATATTTCAGATCCTCCTGGGCACGCTTGGCCGCGACCTTGCGTCGCTTGTCGGCGAATTCATCGATCACGCACTCCCGGTCGTGAAGAGCACATTCTGCGCACGGCGTCCCTGTTGTATCTGCACTACACTGTGATACGGCCAGTCAAGTCAGAACAGAAAGAGTGGGAAGATAGAAGAATTTCATAGAAGGGCTAGATGAACCAGTATGATGCATCATAAAGGAAAGGAAACCGCTAGAGTGTACTAGAAGAGCCAAGCTGGGGGGTTTTCACACCTTCGTCCGACGTCGTTTACATTCCCCGCAAGCCGTAGAAGCGCGCTTTATTTTCCCCTCCTCGGGCGCAGCAGCCGGGGTTGGAGGTTCTGGTATCCTCCGTGGGGCAATGGGACGAAAAGGTTTCCCAGACCCTTGTTGGGCCATGACTTAAGAGTGTGTTTGTATATGATGACGGAGAGGAGAAGAAGCAGCGACGGGAGAAAACAAGAGGCCCGTGGGAGGGGGCCAGCGAAGTGCCAGATAAGATCGCGGGTAGAAAGTTCTAGGAGCACTCGCCTCACTAGAGAGGCGCATCTAAGCCGGACGCCAGAGAAGCCCCATGTTCAACGGACTAGCCAGGTCCTGCAGCGTTGTCGCACCGGCGTACCGCGGGCGGTCGAGACGAGCGAAAGTGGGTGGGTTCGAAAAGCACCATCTGCACTCTCAAGGGGGGAAATCCCAGAAACTCAAAATTACGGCCCAATACAAGTAGGGGGGAAAATTAGGATCGGTGTGTGTTTGTGAAATGTGACACATCGGGGCCTACGCAGGCCCACGGGCCGTCCCCAACACTGTGGCTCTCCTCCAGTCGTTCCAGGAACAGCAAACCCTCGAGCATTTATGGCCAAGAAGCCGGGTGCAAGAAGATTGTGCCAGCGAAAGAGAACCCCAGCTGGGAGTGGGAGGAAGATGTGCGAGTCAGGTCGAGGGGATCAGTGCATGGGACATCCAGCTGGATGGCGACAACCGAACGATCCGCCAGGATGGGAGATTTTGCAATGGCAATGGCTATCAGGGACAGCCCAGCTTTCGTTTTTCGGACAGACCCAGCAGCGGTCAGACAGGAAGTTTGGTGATTTGGCAGTCTCAGTAGTCACCAACACGGCGATGCGCAGCTAAAATGCCTAAAGGGCCCATCCGACCTTTTCCCTGAGTAATATGGTTTCCCACCACCACTCTTTGGATAGAATTTCGTTCCTCCTTTCCGTTTTAAGCAGCTCTACCGCCGTTCCCCTGTCCAATATTCCCCGGGTATCTGGAGATTGAAGATTTGTTGAACCTTACCTTTCCCTGTTTCTGCTGTGACGGATGTCTGGATGAGATGGCTTCCCTCACACCCCTTCATACGCGCTCGAAGAATCCTCTCGCAAGGGGGTTCTTCAGTGGAAATATTACTGGGATTGTGCGAGCATAACTTTGACCGAATCAACGGAGGACCATTGGTTGACTAAAGTAACGGCCGGTGCTCTGCGCGAATTCAATCGCGGCTTGAGGCCGGATATTTTATCCGGCAGATTTGATAGGACACGGGGGGATCAAATCGACGGAACAGAGGACCCAGGCCCTTAGTCCGCTGGGTCGATGTCTTCGTCAACTACCTGCTTTTAGAGGATCTTAGCCACAGAGTGACCACCCACGTATGTGATCAGGAAACACAGACCAAGAGCGGGTTGTGCCCCGATTACTGGTTCTGCAAACCTAGGTGTGGATGCAGTTCTATGCACCGTGGGAAACCTGAGTGCCTGGTTTCTGCCCCCCAACTTTAGTTCCTTCATACACTGCAGACCAGAATCCGGGGGAATGGAGTAACCATAGGACACCGCAACGCTATAAAAGAACCACTATTTGATCCAGTAGTACCGTCACCCAGCAGCAGGGGAAGCGCGATTAGAATTGAGGATTGAAAGTTGGCTGTCGAGAAGGAGATCAGCTGTCATCGCAAGGCAGCTGCTCACGTGCCCGGGTGGCCCACCGCCGCTAGTCACGGTCGGACTTAGTCTGGTTTCGGAAGTCAACCAAGTCTAGATTCAACCACTGGACGAACGAAGCATTGGGTTTCTTCAAATACATGAGCGGGAAGACGTTGGTCGTCGGTTTTACTTTTCGATAGACGTCACCCTGGTCTCTTTCCTTCTGATCATGGCGAGCTAATACGAGCTCACCCCAAGCAAAGGTCCTTGACTCTCTCCCCTCTCCTACTATTTACTCCCTGTGACAACCCATATACTGATTAGAATTCCTAATATCTCCAGGTGCAAAGTTCCTATCACCTACGTACAGCCCACAAATGGCCGCATCTATATCTTCTGCCTTGCCAATCACATATTGAAGAGCTAACCCCTTCGAGATAGCCGACGTGACTAGAGAATCAACCCCATGGCGTCGTGCTCGGGACCCAGATCGCTAATGCAGTTTCACTAGGTCTCAATCCACTACGTGGCAGAGTCGTAGGTAAGTGCGAGTTATCGTCTCGAGGAAGTTGATAAATATGTAGATCCTGAACCGCCCAGTTATGCAGCAAACCACTACATCCGCTGGCGGCCGAAGCTCGGTCGCGGGAGTGGGGAGTGCGAGCGTTTCAACATTCCAACGAGCATAGGAGGCCGTCAATCGTTGCTATTGTAACCACGGCTCCCTCCCTCTCAATGCGGATGATCAGGAGTATCAAGCGCTTGATAGGCTGGCATCTATGCCGTGGCTGTGGGGTCGTGTGATCGCACACAAAGTCGGTTCGGTACGCCACCTTGATGTCACGAACCAGAGTTGCCTGGTGACGAACCTAATTAACTTACCGAACTGCCATCCTTGCTAGATGCATACGTTCACTTGATGTCCAAGGTGATAGCAACATACCGACAGAGCAAGGATGGGGTAATGGGGGCATCTCGCATTGCTTCCGTGCGCCACCTCACGTCGGAGATGAATTCCTGCGCCAACTATTCGAAGCTCGTAAAACCCTTTAACGAACCTGTGGGTTTAACAGGCTTTGGAACAGGCGATCCACACCGCCAAAACATCGTACGAACAAAGTGCAGCTCAATTGGAACACCACGAGCAAATTTGTCTGCTTATTTCAAAATTCTGATCTAGGGGAATCCTAATAGTGTATACACGAAGTTGTAAAATAATGTAGAGGGCAAAGTATGAGTTGCAAGAAGGGAATAAGGACGGGACGGAGCAGACCTTCAGTAGATAGGCCTGCCCTCATCCCATTTGCGCAATTCTCCCGGGCTCTGCGCCAGCGTGGCCTCTCCAACGCGCTGGTCACGGCTCTGCTCGGCAGGGAGTGGAGAGAAATGCACCTTACCGCTCTCACGGCCTGTTGCAGTGCTACCTTCAATCTCGCTCCGGACACTGCCAATCCCACCGATCCACTCCCAGACGCGAGCAACATCCCCACCACGGCCCTCACGAACTGAAGCGCGGACGTTGGCATTGCCCTCCACTACATTACGAACGCGCTTCCACAATGCTTCGCGCCGACTGCCGCGCAGCTCTGAACGGAGAACGTCGTCGCGCAATTGGCCAATGGGAATATAGGGCTCGCGAGCAGCACCCCGAGCGTGAAGGGCAGCCTGCGTCGCCAGGCGGTCGAGTGTCGTAGCGACTAATTCTGGGACTCGAGCCATATCAGAACGGCGAGCCCGGACTCTTGAGCGTGCGTAAAGAATTACACATGCGCACAGAGCTAGAACCGAAAGAGGGAATCGATACGCGACGAGAGAGAGTCGGATGTTGCGGCGGAAGGCGCATGTGAGAGGGAGACGACTGACGGAGGTCGAGGTGAGGGTGAGGACAGAGGATGGTCTGTAATCATGTTGTCGCCTCTGTTAGTTCCGTGAAAACACGTCAGAATCTGATTCCTTCGGTGCCACCATAGGGTCCGGGCAGGTGTGATAGAGCCTCCAGATTAGGAAAGTTGATCGACTTACTGCTTCATTCTGGTAATAACCTCCTCCCTTCCAATTACCTCACCCAGAGCTCCCTTCCAAAGGTCATCAAACTCCGTGTCACTCATGCCTTTCCGGCGCTGTCTCCCCACTTCCTGCTTCAAGTCGGATTCGCTGATTTCTGCACCGACGGTGCCTTCCTCATCCTGCGCCACCTCCCCACACTCCCACTTCGCCCTACGATCGCGCAAGGCTTCCAAAGCCTTATCAGCGACAGCCTTCACGCGACGCGCTTTCTCGCTGTCTGGCTCACAGGTTGGGGGTAGCGGAACCAACCCTCCAAGAGACAGCGGATGCGCCTTGAGCAGGAAGTCGTGTTCACACCGAGCTTCAAAGTTGGGATAGCAAAATGCGTGCGAGGGGCATGGTTCACATTGAGGTTCAAGAATATTGGCCCATTCAGGGACCCTGGTTTCGGCCAAGGACCAAGTGGGTTTGCCAATGCCGCAGAATCCGATCTCGATCTTCTCCTTACGCCACCAAGCACCGAAACTTGCGAACAACACGACGAGGATAACCCAAGGCGCTGCACGGCTTGCAGTTCCCTGTTTCTGTGGCCGCCGGCTTGGGGCACTGTACATCAAGTCGGCGTGCTCCCTCTCGAGCGCCAACTGCTCGTCTGGTGTAAATTCCTCGCCTGCACTAAAGTCGCTGTCCTCCTCGTACTTGATTGGATCAAAATTCTGTGGTGGAGTTCTCATATTTGAGATGGGGAGCTCAAATGGTGACCGCTTTGATGGAGTAGCACCATGCTGATCGTGCAGATCCGCTGGCGTGACAGACTTCCTTGACCGCAGACCGCTACTTAAGGCAGGCGATTCAAGCGAAAACCGCGAGCTGCTCTTTCTTTCTGATCTATGACTAGACGGCCTTGGGCTCTTGTATTCCCAACGGGCTGGCGATCCACTTTGGAAGGGATTGTCATCGGTGAAAACGCTCTCCTCCTTCGGTTCGAGTTTGATGGCAGAAACCGGGGGTTCGGGGTTCACAGATGGTGTCATTTCGCTGCGTCTGGGTTTTCTGGCAGTGGACTTCCGTGGTGTCATGGTGTCAGTTGCCACAGGTGTTGCCAGCATATCGTCCTGCGGCTCCGTGTCTGACGTGCGGTATCTTCTCGATTGCGATCTCGGGATAGATTTCCTCGAGCTCACCGACGGAGTAGCTGTTGCATTTCTTTCCTCAGTGTCGGCTGTCGATGCTCTGACACTTGCTCTAGAGCGTCCCCTTCTTCCAGTGGCTGTCGATACCGTAGACGGTGTAGGCGGGGGTGGCATCGAGTCTCTCGCCGGAGTTCCGCGCTGGTCGTCATAGTCGCTCACAACTGACGTCGCGCGACTTCCCATGTCTGTGATACCCTCGCTCGTTCTCCTGACTCTCTCGCGCTCTCTCAATAGCTTTCGGGCCTGGGGCATAACTTCCGCCTCCAGGATGCTGATAAGTTGAGCCTTTTTGGCCGAAGCAGGGTAGGGAACATCGTGGCTGACAAGGATCGATCGCAGACGCGGTACGGTGAGGGAATTGAGATCAAAATCCGGAGCGAGATACTCCAAAGCGTCCGCCATGGTGGAAGCGATTCACGTAGCTTATCAACGCCACGAAAACCGATGTTTAAAAAGGAAAAGGCGGATGGAGGTTTGCGGAGAGGGAAAAATTGAACGGACGGGAGGGAAGGAAAGATCTTCCTGGTCTCCGCTCTTTTGGTGAGAACCTTGATTATTGTGCAGCCCCCAGCTCGTCAATGACGGAAGTAGCCGTTAATCGATGGTCTCCAGGACAACCAAGCGGGGCCGTGGCAAGAGAAGCCAACTGGCCGATTGAGGGTAACAAATACGACCGGTTTCGATATCCCAATCCAACCTAGAATCTAGAATGATAAAAATCGATTCGAGTATGACGGAGAGTGATGAGAAGTGGAGAGAAGAAAAAGGGTCAAATTGGAGCACGGATACGGCAAGATGAGCAAGCTGCCCGGGCTTGGCCCCCCGTCATGCAAACAAATCATAACAAACGCTGGTCATCACGTGAGCGGGAGGCAACGCGCCTGAGGTCTCCACTCGTGGCGCATGTCTCCAGACAATAGCTACGTACTTAGATGTCTTACTTAGTGACATAGTATAGTCCACGGTGCCATCTGATTAATAGTAGATATTCCCAGAGTATTGCACATGGTAAATAGGCCGATAAATGCATCTCACCAGACGTTGCGACTCATCGTCTAGAGGCTTCATACAGTTATCAGGCGCAATGTTACGATCCGCTGTACTCTATATGTAGCCTATACATTTACGAGGTAGCCACCAGATAAAATGATAATCCGCTTTTACATTTCCATTAGATGCACAGTAACCAAGAAGTTGGGGAAGAAAGATACCACCAAGAAGGAGATAAAAGGGCAAGAAAGACGAACCCCACCCTTCCAAAGCTCCAGCCTATGCTGTGAATTCACACTTCCCACCAACCCAAGAGACGCCGCTCTGCAGTAGAATAAAAAGAAGCTAAAAAGAAAAGTGCAATGAATACAATAGAGATGTGAAGAATGTAACCCTTGCCAGAAATATATTCAGGGTGGATTTCAAGGACGAGGTCCGCCAGGGTTAAACTCGTCAGATGGCGGTCCCATATGAAGATAGGACGACGAGGCAGAGTCATAGTTGCTCTCACCGTTGCTATACTGTGGGTCGGTGTATGTATAGCTAGTTGCAGTGCCAGCACTGGCATCGATTTGCTCCTTTAGAGCCCGGAATTCTGCGAGCTGAGCTTGTAGTTGTTGCATCACGTCTGTGATTGGTACAGCGTGGTCATTGAGCCGGTCGCCTGGCCGGAAGGGCCGCATCATGTTTCGAATGAAGAGTGTAGTGATACAGAGCTGCGAAATGTCAGCGCATCTGGCATACAAGCTGCATGTTCAAACGATTTTGTCACTTACCTCGATGCGAGTTACCTGCTGCTCGACTAGGCTAATCACAGTCGAGTCTGCAAGCTCACCACCATGGTTCTTCACCACATTGAATAGAGCTACATTCGGCTCCTTGAGTCGAGCTTCACCTGGGTACTCCA